AAAAGAAGAGAAACCAGCCCTGAATTTGCTGACTGTGACAAACCATCTCAGCAGATCATTAATGTCCTGATTTTTGTTTCCCCTTGGGAGGACTTTGTTTTTAAAATCTATGCTTCTTTGAGTTTCTTTTAATTTGTATGTCTTTCCAGCACAATAGGTTGTGTTTTCCCTGCTGTTACCGACTGAGAATTTAGTTGAGATATGGAATAATCCATCTAACAGCTTTCCATAAATCCATCTGACTACCGTGGAAATATGGGAGGGAGACATCAAAGGAAGGGCTGCTGCTGCAGGGTGGATGTGACTGTCATCATCATCACACTATGTTGTTGTTTTTTAGTTAGCTGCCTCATTATTTTCCTGACCTTGTCTAACACAACTGTTTTCTAATATCATATTAAAAGCCAGCCTCTGAACAAAGCAATTTAAATTAAAGCAAAGTTTTGATCACCACAACTTGTGGACATTTCATCCATTCCCTGAACATCTTGGATCTCTACCTTGCCACTTCACACTGATTACAGTAAATAAGTGGCGTAAAATTGTGGATACAAACAAGGAGTACTCTGCAGAGCGTGATCGCCGAAGCAACTATCAGCTGGCCCGTCTTTACTGTAACTCTATGCAGTAATATGTCAGGAATTTGGGATTGGTTCCTGAGGTCTGTGAACAAAAACATGGCCTATATTCTGAGCGCAGTCTTCTGACTCAGCGCGGATTTCGGTGGGAGGAAGTCACAAGACTCATCATTTGCTGCTCATGTACAGTGGTCCCCGACACAAATAAAACAAAGTGTGAGTTACTGTGTTCAACAATGTGTCACTACAGAATAGGTCAAAATACCCTTTGTGAGAAAGTGTTAGTGGGTGTTATAGGTGTAAACATTGTGTAAGCACGAGGACCTGGCTCTTGTTTCAGCACTTCTCATATTTCTTTTGTGCTTAACAAGCTAAGTGTCCTGTGGAGACTTATGCAATATCCCACAAGCCCTGTTATAAGCATTCATGTAGTGTGCCCCACTGTAAAGGCAAACCACAAATCAAAAATGTGTCCTTACATAAGACAAAATACTGAGTGTGATGTCTGATTAAAGTTACACATGCTCCTGGTGCAGAACATGGGGACAACATACAGCTGTAATCAAACAAACCATTATGTAGCCAGGGGGTTGAGGGGTCACTGGACCACAGTTCGGGAACTATCAAGCAACAGAAGTAGAGCCATTTCATTGTTCCCTCACCCCATCCCCCTCCTTGGTCCCTGCCTGGACAACACTTTGCCTAAAGCCTTCTTAAAGGCACAGAGTGAAGTGGCAAGTTTAGGAAGTGTGAGGAAATTAATCACAAATAACGTTGCAATTTTCTCACAGGACATACGGGTGGCTAGAGTACATGTGTAAATCCCAGCATTGAGAAGTTGCATGGTGTTACAGCTACATAGAGGACACTGAGATCCTGCACAGCCACGAGTGTGTAACATAACAGAGGGAAACTGTGTATTAAGAGTTGGTCAGCACAAAATGGGTCAGTTGTGGCTAACATGATAGATGGTGTCCAAGGAGGAGAGGACACGGTGTGTCTGAAGGGGCATGGTATCAATTCCAATAAGCAGTCGGAGTCCATTTGATTCTAGGTCCACAATGTTTAGCGACCTATTCACCTCTATCACGGGGTTTGCTGTTAAAGGTTTTAAAATAGACACCTTTCTCCTTTTAACCCGACTGGACACAGAGAAGAAGAAGCGGATGAAACCCTGATGTTAACCTGAAGCCACTGAGGAAAAGCACTGCTCACAAAAGACTTTCTTTCACCCGGCACACTGTGACAAAAACACACACACATACACAGAGGTAACGTAATGAAATGTAAGAGCTCTGACCTGTTCCGACTCTGAATCATATTCCTCATCGTCTCCGCTCAATGACAAGGCCATGGCTCCTCTGTCTCATCGTTTGTGAACAGTAGAGAAAACTAACATGGCTGAACAAGCCTCCAGCTCAGCTCATTCCCCCCTCCTTCACACCACACCGACACGGGCAGCTGCAAGCAATGTTCACTGTGCTGTGTTCAGGAACCATGGGAAACATAGTAAACATCAACTTCCTGCTTACTTAATGCACCTTCAGCATTCCGGTTAGGAAAAAACCGCCAACCGAAAAACGTAAGGGAAGATAAAAGTGACCATACACGTGTTTTAAATAATGATTAATACTTTAAACAGTAAAATACGGTAAAAGGTAAAGAAATAAAAAAAATATTGGCGAGGCTAGTACCTTGGCATACGTTGCAACGATGCGACCTGATAGCAACATCGGTGCAAGAGGAAGTGAAGAGCAACAGGCAGGGCAAGATGGTTCCCTCCTACACACGTCCGTCTTCGCTTTTTCTGGTTTTAGTGGTGTGTGTGAGTCAGAGAGGGCATGAGTACAGGTTAAATCTACACATTGAATCAGTTTACTTAACACTGGACCGTGTGATTTAGGTTTAGTGATCGTAATAACCATTGAAATTCGATACATGCTGTAGCCTCATGGCCAAACAGTGCAATATTTAGTCACCTGTGCAGGTGTTGTACCCCGACTGATGCGAATGAGCCAGAGCTTAAATACAGGTATCACTATTATTTCCTGTGTCTGGTGGTGAGTCACAGAACTCATGTTATTTGTTTAAGATAGCTACCATGTATGATGTGTGATAATTTTGTTCATTTGCCAATTACATTTTGTGCACCTGAAATTTAGGGACTAGACCTATTTATATATTAAATGTTTACAATTACCAAACACTGTTGATCTGAGATTGGTATAAATATAATAAATTAAAGTTTAGAGACAGCACTTTAACCTGAAAGTGATGCCTCATTTTGTTTTAGATCCAGTGTACTTGCACACTGAGCCAACACAACAACACATGTGTCACTGGCTTACTCAGGACTGTATGATATAATAATGATGATATAGTAATGAATCATGAAAGCCACTCTGTTTATATGTAATGTCACATGACACATGTTTTACATGTTAAAATGCCTTACTTTGGCGTCATCTAGTGGTAGTATCAAGAATTAGTCTGTGACAGGCAGTTTGTGTGAGCAGCCTGAACTGTGAAACATTTATTATATTTATATTAAAGCTGAATTAAAATAAAGGAGATTCAACAGATTTGTTTCAGAGATTTCTTTTTTTTCCTGTCTTAGTATGCTGATATTTTATGGTATTAACCACATGTTTATTTTATGTTTATTTAACAAGGTAGGTTGATGAATCATGCACATTCATGCACCAAGGGCCCCATTCAATTTTCTGGCTAAGACCCCTTCAGATTCCAGAATTGGCTCTTGTGATAACAAAACTTAAAATTAAAATGTGCAGGGACAGATTCACAAGTATCCCATGTAAGTCTAGAACTTAACTGAATTCCATGTGCTCAAAATCAAGATATCATCAAAAACCTATCGATCTTTGTGCCAGTGCATATAACTAATTTTTCAGGTGATCTGGTGACATAGGCCTTTTAAAACACGTAACTGGATTTTTGCATCTTGAGTAATATCTCTATCGTATATGGCTGCTGGGCCATGGACCAAAATCTTTTGAGTACCTCCACATATAATAGCATGGTTTCTAAGTTTTAAAGTCCATTTCCTCCATGTTTACTGAACAGGAACAGTTCACACTGCACACTAAGATCAGAGTGCACTTCAGAGAGCAACACCAACAGCTGCATCATCTGCAGGATGTGATACCACAGTACATACAATGTACTGTCATTGACTGAGGGCTTTCAAGCACCTCACTGAACTTGTCTAAGCCAAAAGCCCCACAGCTAGGTATCTGTCTGGTCTCTGTGGAAGTGAATGCATGTTTTTTCACCAGCACCACCCAGGTGCATTATTTATAAATTAACTAGTACAAATTTGTACTTCAGACTATAAGAAATGGTGTTGCTTTATGACGGACCAAACAGTATGTCTGTTTTCGCGAGAGGCCTCCTCTGGTTCCTCTCCTACAAAAAGGTACTTCTCCTATGTATTTATGAATATGCAGTGAGGAGAGTTTCCACTACGGTAACAGGAAGCATACATAAAACACAATCTGTTTTTAGACTGTTTCCTCATTATACTCTATTTTTAAAAAGCAACTCCATTTCTGACTCTCTCTGTCTGAGATGTTTTGTGCTTGTCTGCCCTCAGGTGGTGGTGGACTGCTAGACTGTATGATGTCACAGTATTTACTGCAGCAGCAGGACTGTGGCATGCCCTGTTTACTCACTCTACAGTGGTTTCCAGTAGAAGTGTTTAGACATGTGCACTCACAGAGGGAGAAGCTGCTGATCCTTCAAGTGATAGTTGAGATTACTCAAACTTTCTCCTGTGCTCCAGTAGCTCCACAACTGAAATTAGCTTTTAGCTTTATTATGTGTTTAACTTTAATTTTATTGTATGTTTACAAGTCTATTATAATTATTATTGGCTAATAAATCCGTCAGTCTACTGTAGTATAGAAACAGTTCATGAATGACTGCTTAATATCACTTTATGGTTGAAAAGGGGATACAGGAATAAAAAAATAACTCATGTCACTATTGTGGTGTAAATAATTGTACAGTATTTTTCCTCCTTGGTGGTGTTTATACAAAACTTTAATGGCAGTTTAAAGCAAAATGCATGACCAGACTTAAGTGAGATTTTTGTGGGCTATATTTTGGCCTAATTGCTCAGACTTTCAGTTTGACAGAATTTTTACCAGCTTGATCCAAAACTGCTGACAGTGAACCCATTCATCTCCACACACACACACACACACACACACACACACACACACAGGTCAGTGTGGGCAGCAGTAAGGAGTCACTGAGAGATGGACATGTGTGGCTAGTACAGTTTGGGTGTGTGTTGGAGATATGACATATTCATAAAGGCAAAGGGCACTCAGCTTCATGACGGATTACTGGCGCAAGGAGGCAGACTGCTGCAGCGCCTGGAGAGCATTGGATTGTGGGTATCTTGTGTTTCCTGATAGACTCTGACAGTCGGTCAGCTGTTGCAGGAAAGTTTTGACACAGTCTGATAGCTCTCTGTATCTGCTGTTTATTAGATGTTTAACCTCCTCGGAACCAAACTCAGTGGGTGCGCTTTTCATCTGTTTAATCCATCGACTGCCTTCCTGTAAATCAATCCGGTTTGTATCTTCATATTTGTAAAATTTGCCGCTACACTAACTTGGAGCAACTTTCGTAATGAGTTTGAACGAGCACTCGTTACAGGCTCTGTCATGGAGAAAACTGTACTTGAGTCGAGCCAAGTTAAAAGCCACCAGCCGCACTTCAGCCCTGCTGTCCGGATTCGCGATGGTAAGTTCACTTCACTGGTTCATGTTACACAGTGTGATACCGCATGAATGCAAGGCCGTGGGTATGAACCGCATATATTTATGTGACGCAGATGATTGTTTTCACGGGCTGTGGCGAGCTGGACACTTCACAGGCCTAATGACGGCTCACCCGCGTCAATATTCACCACTAAGCAGTGTTTGTTTCCTGTAAGGACGGTGTAATAAACTGCGTGAATATGAAAAGTCACAGTGTCTAAATTAAACTCGTCTGGTTAACCATGTGCGCCTTTGCATGATGTATCTCTAGGCATGGAGCGATGATAACGGATCAAGAGAAACAAACAGTATGTGAACTTCAGAGGGCTTGTCCTCACACCCTCAAGCCTGAGTTAAACTTCCGCCATAACAAGTAGACCGCACAGCAGCACTGCAGAAGCATCAACACCGTTTTTAAGATAAATAGATAAATACATAATAATTATAATAATACATGCATTTTTTCTATTTTTAAGCGTGCAAATCAGCACAAATTACATATTTAACAAGGTGTCTGCAGGCCCTTAAAAATTAAAAAAAAAATGTATTGAATTTATTTTTTTTTAAATAAATATCAGGCCTTAAAAGTTGTTAAATAGTCATGGATTCGTGGGGTCTTAACATTTTCCCTGCCAGAGTATTATTTTTAAGTTGTCAGCAACTGCTAGCATTTTGGATCATATTCACTAATCTTTCAAGATCCACTAAATAATTTATCATATGAATATGTAAACAGTAAATACATGAAACTAAAGAGAAGACTTTATGTTTTAAGTACAAAACACAAAATCAATGTCACATTTACATTTTTTTCTCATTTCCTTACATCAGTTTGAATTGTATAAATGATAATAATAATAATAATAATAATAATAATAATAATAATAATATATGTCCGTTTCTATTTTTCACTTGCAAATTAGCACCAATGTTATAAATTTAACAAGGTGGCTGCAGGTCCTAAAAAGTCTTAAAATGTATTAAATTTATTATTATTATTAGTTTTTTATCATTAGGCCTTTAAATGTATTAAATAGTCTTAAATTTGAATCTGTGAGGTCTTGTTTGCTACCAGCGTTGGAAGAAGTATTTAGATCCTTTACATCAGTAAAAGCGCCGACTCTCTAAAAAAATTCTCAACTACGTGTAAAAGTCATGCACTTAAAATCTTACTCAAGTACAGACATGTAATTGTTATAAGCAGAATGCAGCAAGTATCAAAAGTAGAAGTAAAATTGTGCAGTAAAATGATCCCTGTCAGAGTTTTACTGTTATATGTACTGTTTTAATATTACTACTGCATTAATTTGTATGTTGCATATTACAGCTGTAGATGGTTAAGTTGCTCATTTAACTCCTGTATAATGTTGGTTAGTTTAATCTGCAGCAATGCAACATATTCTGTAATATAGTTTATGTTTGTATGGTCGCTGTCCTGTGAGAACCACCTATCGCTAAAAAGTCAAGTTTTCACGGTGTCAGAAAAACAGCCCTCTTTTCAGCTTTGTGACGATGCATTTTTTCAGCTGATCCAGCAGGTTTTAAGTTGTTTATTTAGCTTAAGAAGGAGGAGAATTTTCTCAACAAATAAAGGAGCACTTTATCCTTCACTTCATCACAAACATTCATAATCAACACATCTGGAGATACATGGGACAGGAAGGGGATCTGAAACTGTAATCTGAAAAGTAACCAAAGCTGTCAGATAAATATATTGCAGTGAGAAGTACATATTGACCCCTGAGATGTAGTTGAGTAGGAGTGTAAAGTTAATTAAAATGGAAATACTCAAGTAAAGTCTGATTTGTACTTAAGTACTAAACTTGAGTAAATATACTTAGTTAAATTCCACCTCTGATTGCCACACACATTTTACCTAATTTCTATGTCAAAATTGAAGTTTGAATTGAAGTGAAGTTCCTCTGTGTGAAACTCCACATACCTGATATTACAAATCTTTAAAGCTACCACTGAACCTGATGCTGTCTTTTTACTTTATAGTTGCATTTATCTGTTGGTAAAAAATATAGATTAACCTAACTCACTCTAATAACCATATTCCTGCATAAGCCTCTGAATGGGAGCACATATACTTACCTTTTTGTTTTTGTGTTACTTACTTGCAGTCTGAGTTAAAAAGTTAAAATGGTATTGACTGGGTAGGTGCATAGTCATATGTTAAATATGGTCATATTCAGTTATCAAGTACAGAAGAGACATTTTTCCTGTGTTATCCCCAGGTTGCCATGGTGGAAGTACAGCTGGAGCGGGATCATAAATATCCTCCAGGGCTGCTGATAGCCTTCAGCGCCTGCACCACAGTTCTGGTTGCAGTACACCTCTTCGCCCTTATGATCAGCACCTGCATCCTCCCTAACCTCGAGGCTGTCAGCAATGTTCACAACCTCAACTCCGTCAACGAGTCTCCTCACGAGCGCATGCACCGCCACATAGAGCTGGCCTGGGCTTTCTCCACAGTCATCGGCACACTCCTCTTCCTGACGGAGGTGATGCTCTTGTGCTGGGTGAAGTTCTTACCCCTCAAAAGCAACACTGACGAGAACAATGGTACTATAAGTTCCGGCGAGGCCGCAGCCATCGCTTCCACCTGCATCATGGTGCCATTTGGACTTGTTTTTATCATGTTCGCTGTCCACTTTTACCGCACGCTGGTGAGTCACAAAACAGACCGGCAGATCCGAGAGCTGGAGCAGGTCATTCAGCTCCAGAACCAGCTGGACCACAGGGCTGAGAATGACGACCTGAAGGCCGCCATCCATTTCCCTTGATCATAGTCAGTTAGCACACAACAGCAGCGGACATTCAACAGTGCCTTTATTGTGAAATCTCTTATGAAAGCTTTATTTTTTATGTTAATGAACTGTGCTCAGACGCTTCTTATGGAATTACACGCTTAATCTGTTGAGTTGCTGTAGGTTTGACTCAGTCCACATTTGGATAGTACATGTTCACAAATTTCTACCTGTTATATATTAGAAAAAAATGTAATTTTACCTTTAACTTATAGGTAAATCTTTTGCTCTCAGGCACTTATTTCAGTGGCTTGAATAATGACATATCAAATCACTGTCTAACATCATGCATAAGGGATATAGCCACTTCAGGACACTTGCACTTAAGTGTACTATCATAGGAATTGGAGTGATACCCATTTATAAAGCTAAATAGCCAGTGAGAAATCACTGTACAGATTTACTGTAGTGATGAAAAGATGTTGTTGTGCGGTGTAGAAGAGGACCTGCTTTCACCAGCACAAGGAAAATCTGGGTTATATTGCTGCCCTGAGGAAGCTCCACGTAAAACCAAAACAATGACTAAATTAAAGGTGCACTTCCTTGTTTAAATATGGCTCAGCCAAACCAGAACTTCTTGTTAGATTCATGTGAAACAGCTCTGTTGTGAAGCCTGTCTTTAGCTCAGGTAGACAGATATTGGTGCTGCTCCGTCTGTGCTTCCATGTGTCGTTACTGGTAGATTTGAGCTGTCGCAGTTTTATTCAGTGCTGCTGATGGAGGCATACTGTATAACTGACCACCACAATAGCATCCATCTGTGGCTAGTGTGTAGGATTTCCTCTGTTACTGATGTTTATAAATTGTTCATTCAAAGGTAACAAAAATACAACGATTCATATCTTCAGGTGATTATACACTAATGACAACATCGTTATGAATATATACCATTTCTGCCACTATATCCCCCTAAATTGCACACACTTGACCTCTTATAGCGTCCCTGCTCTCATGTTTGCCTGGCTGTAAATTAGGCTTTTATAGGGAGCACTACCAAGCCGTTATTACCAACACGGATGTTCATATTCACTGTACAAATTGTCTGACTGAAATGACAGCTGTATTAGACTCATTGTATGCATGCTTTAAAACCAAAATTATGGAACAAGTTGCATCCTTTTGAAACATTTATAAGGTCTTAGTGCTTTTTTTTTTGTATATACACACTTTTATCGGATTGAATGGTTGATTTCAGGAGCTTTTTATTTTCCCCTAGTTACCAGTTATTCTAGTTTGTGTCAAATGTTTGCTCCTTTCCCTTTCCCACACCTAGGTTTTTCAGTCTTCTGAACAATTTCCATTTTACTATTTGCAGAATCCTCATTTTTAATGAGGAATCTATTTTCATAGGAAAATGAAGTTTTAAACAAAACACTTTAAGGGAACTTCACAAAACAAACATATTAGTCCAGCAGTATTTGTGTGCAATCAGAGGCAAAAGAGCACTTCTTAAAAAACATAAATGCTAGTCAGGGAGTGCTATTAACCAAATTGTGTTATCGCTGTGCACATATTTTTATAGCAAGGGTTCTGTAAAATCGATCTCAACTGCTCGATTTCTTGTCGCTTTTGTGATTTGAATATACTGTAATCTGTAGAAAATGGTTACTAGCTTTGAAGAAGTATTGTTGAATGTATTATTACAAAGCATACGAGTATTGGAAATGTTTTGTACTTTTCATAGTTTACAAGTTTGAGCATGCTCACACATTGTTTAGGTTACAGATTATTTAAGTGTGGAAAATAGGCTGTTCTTTTTGTCCTGCGGCACATTACTGAATAGTTTTACTTAAGTTTGATCATTTTCTTCTTTTTCATCTTTGCTGTAACGTTGGTACAAAAATGTGCATGTATTTATAGCTGTACGACAATCCTTGTTTATCATTCTCTCATGTGATGGTGTCGTGACAACATTTTCATAGTATATCATATCCCATAATTGTAACATGCTGTAATTATATCAAGGTAATGCTGTGGTTATTGTTGCAATATCTGTAACACCCACCCCCTACACATGGTTTATACTGAGTCATGGTAAAGTATCTGTAGACATTACCCCCAGAATTTTCACTCAAATTGTCCCGACCAGATGATAATATCTCTGTGACACGTAGCAGAGAACAAGGAGTCATCAGGGGTCAGTAACTTACAGACTAGTTAAATGGTGGTTTTGCTTCTCCAAAGCACTGTTGATGGTGTTTCTGTAAGGCTTTTCACAAGGAATTAAATGCAGGTTTATTCATGTCAGATGCACACACACTGGGACACTTCTGATAGTAATTTCCACATGCAGCTCGTTTAGAAACAGATGCATGCAAATGAAAGGCATGTTTCTTTGGTTCATTGTTGTGGTTTATTTATTTAACCCAGTGTATGTTACTGTATATAGAGAGTTCCCACTGCTTGTGTCAATGCACAGCTTTAAAGTGATTTTATAGTAAATACTGTATTATTGCTTATGTGTGGTGTTTTAACCTGGTTACAGTCACCAGGACTTTTTTTGTTGTTGTTGTTGTTGCCCGTTTGAGAATAAAACACATATGAGATATTTTGGGAATTTTGTGTTAATTTTGTAAATTTTTGACTATTTGCATGTATAAAAGAAACACCAGGAAAAACACCCAAGTAAACACAATGAATGTATCATGTTGAATGTATTTTAAACTCTGATATCAAAAGGAAAACCACACAGGAAAGGTGCCCGGACATGCAGTTTGAGTGTACTGTCAGTCAGTAGTCATGAGCCTGCAGCAGCACAACAAAGCACACACACTCTTCTCTCTGTTATTTTTTCCACCACTCGTTTCCTTAAGCGCTGGTTTCGTTGCTTCTGTGAATAAATCGTCCTCATTTTCCCTGTATTTGGCCGAGCACTCTAAGTACAGCACAGCATTTCCTTTTCATCCTCTACTCCCGCTTAGAATAGGGTTTTAATCCCACAAATTAATTGTGAATAAAAATGTGTGACTTTTCATGTAGCTCTATCCAGTGACACTAATAGTTGATCCCAGAGGAGTTTGTGTAGCTTGATAACTGAGTATATGTGATTTGATCAGGACTTTTTTAGGTCTGCTTCGCACCCAATAAGGACAATGGGCACCCCATCACAGAAATGTTACACCTCAGGGTACCACCGAAAGACATTGAACACAGTTACATTGTGGTATTTTTGGGAGCATAAACTGCAAAGTGATGCATAGGGCAAAATGTAAGGCCATCCCAGTCGAATTTTGATAAATTGAGAAAGTGTTATTTCTCTTATAGACTTAAAGCCTAAAGAAATTAAACCAACCACTAATCCTTCTCCAACCTTGACCATGGATTACTGAATGCTGGGCACATGCCTAGGGGCCCAAGTGTCAGCGCCCCCCTTGGCCTTCACCTGCAAAACATCACTGCAATTACAGACCAGGAAGACACTCAAAATGACCACAAAGAGATGTAAAGGAATCACATACACATAGAGACACAAACTGACCACAAAGACACACAAAACCACAAAAAGATGCATAACGACTACAAGAGATGCAAACCAACAACAGTAAAAACAGGCCTAACCACCACAAAGTCTGTATGTCTCGCTTCTATATAGAAAAGGTGGTGGGGCCTTTCACATTTCTGTGCCCTGGGGCCCACCGTCTCATCTGCCCATGCTCTTGATCTGACATTGACAACATCAAAACTCGCATTTGAAATGACAAAGTGCATCATAGTCAGTACTAGCACTGTGACAGACAAAATTTAAAAAAGATAAATAAAACAACAATTAAAAACAAAAACTCTCAGGTCATTCTGAACAACATGATTGTAGCGTTTAACTTATTTTGACTAATGACAATAAGGCATGTGACTATATTTATCTAAACCTGTTGTGAAATGACAGCTCACCTTCCTCAGACCTGTTTAACAAGGTGAGGTTAAAAGTGTCAGTAAATAGTGAGACCTCACCTGCAGTGTCATAGAGGTGTACCTGACCGGTTGCGTTCTCCTAACACTTGTGTAAAACAGAGATGCAACAATTTCCTGAAAGAAAATTATTATTTTTTGTATCTCTTTATTCTGTTTATTTTTTCATTTAAGTAGATTTAAGTGTTCATACCTACTTTGACACCAAAATACAGAAAATACTGCAGATCCAAAGACAGCCAGGTATAACTGACCTACAGTGTGCATTACTAACTTCTGGAAAGACTCCTTCAGTGTAAACTGTGAGCAGCGATGTTTCCCCACATCCCTTGTCTCCTAAAATAACAACCTTGAATTCCTCTTGCTGACTGGTGCTACCTCTGTTTGCTCCCGATCCTTTCTGGGTCATGTTTTGTGAAAGACAGACGAGGAAGGATGTTTGCAGTGACTGCTGGTCCTGGCAGTGTATACACTGTAGAGATAACCCAGAGATAAACGGAAACCGCAGAAGCTAGTCACTGAATGTCTTTTGTGCAGCAGCATGGAGGCTGTATGAACAGATCAAAGCATTTGGAAATGCTTTCTGGGAAACTCACACCTCGATACTCACCTACATTTAGTCCAGCCTACCCATAATGTGCTGCATAATGCAGTGCTCCACTCTCTGTCTGAATATCTCAAGTATTTAAACCTCAAATATAACTTGTATTAGCTATAATACCTTTTTGAGTAACTAATCAATGTATCTATACATTAATTATTATCTCAATCTATTGTCGCTGCAAATAACCACAACAATATACTACTGTACAATAATATAACACACTATCTATATTACGTTTTTATGCCTCCACGCTTTAGCTGTGGCTGGAGGTATGATGTTTTCGGGTTGTCTACACATCTACAATTGGCACAAATGTCCACTTGGACTCTAGGCTGAACTGCTCAGATTTGGTGGTCAAAGGGCAAAGGTCACCATGACTTCACAAAACACATTTTTGTCCATAACTCAAGAACTCGTGTCTTACTTACAACAGAATCACACAGAAATAGCTAATAGAATTAAAATGATGACCTCATGACACCTTATATCCAAAAGGTCAAAGGTCGACTTGACTGTGACATCATAATGTTCTGCAAAAACAGTTTTCTGGCCATTACTCTGCCCCATAAGTGGTGACATTAATCTTGAAACTGTGTTGATTGTACAGATCTCCTGTGCTGCCGGGTTGAAGATGTGTGTGAAGCATCCATGTTTCAGAATTTGCAGCTTCCTTGCAGCAATATCCATATCTGAATTATTGTCAACTGTCATGGCTACACAAGAGACAAGGATGTAAACTGTAACTGCAACTTGGTTGGTAGATGCATACGACCAGAAGGCAATCCTTTTAGTTATACAATGCAACACTATGCCACTGTATTTGATTGTATTCTGTTATCTTGTCTTTTATGTGTGTATATTATACATGTTGCATATTAATGCAATTAATGCTTACTTATATTTTTATACTGCCAACATTAGGCCTGTGCTTACTTAATTTTTCATATTATGCATGATTAAATTCATTATGCATACAAATATACTTTATCTACTATGTCACTTCAATTTTTTAAATTTTCTGTCAAAATGCTAATTATGTAATTTATTTTATTTTATTTTATTTGTAAAGGACCATGTGCAGTATTAATTATACTTGCTGTTATTTGATGTATTTTTCCAGAGTTATAGCCTGTAGTCATAGCTTACTCATGACATGGGCCTACATGATAATGTGATGATGTAATATATATGTTACAGTACGCACTTTTCAATCTAAAATGGCTTTTTAGAGTTTCTTACAAATTATTGTATAATAAAAGTGCACAGAAACTCCTCACACCTGTCACCTGTAAACCCACCTTCCTCTAACTTTTTGTATTCTTCCGCCTCACTGACGGATCTATATTCCGTCGCTGTCTCCTGGCGGATGAATCCATTGTTCAACCTGGGCGACAAACTGTGAAAACACCGAAAATCACAGCAGCTTTTCCACAATGTTGCTCCATCAAAGGATGAAACTTTGGTTCAGGTAAGCGAGATAAAAACGTTTGGTCAGACCTCACTTGAAATATTTCGACATGTTTCATGTTACAGCCTGTTGTCGTTTAGAGAAGGATAACGTTACAGGTGATGCTCTCCATCACCTGTCGGGGCGTGTTAACCTCCAGTGACGGACTAATGTAAGCTAACTAACGGCTGTGTTTGTCGTGCTACAGATGTTAGCATACGGCGTGTGTTTTGTTGTATTTTACAGGTTTTGACGAATGTAATGGAAAGCGAAAGACAAAGTACAGAGAGAGAGACGCCGCCTCAGCACTGGAGAAGTTGCAAGCTGATAATTGACCCTGCATTGACAAAAGGACTGTATAAAGTGTACCGTTATGATGGACAACAGTTTAACATACCCGTGAGCATATTTAAATATCTGTTTGTTGTCTGTCTCTTCATTAATAACCCCTTTTTAACAAGTACCCCCCTTATAATATTGCGCCGAACAGGCACATATGTTTCCGTTATGATGATGGGTGTCGTGTCCTTCAACAGGTGGAGGACTTAGGTCTGTTTCCTGTGGAGACAGTCAGAGATCCCCGCATCTGCCGCCTGTGGAGCAAATGCAACAAGACTGACCTTTTGATATCTAAATTTAAGGTCATCTTTACAGTCACCATCATAATCATAATAACAATAATGAAAAGAATAATAATACTTCTAATAATAACAATAGCTGTTGTTTTTTTATTTACTCTCAGGTTGATGAATGGTATGTGGGCCCTGTTCCTCCCAAAGAAGTGACCTTTTCCAGGTTGAATGACAATGTGAGGGAGGCCTTCTTGACTCACATGTGCAGTAAATATGGCAACCTTGAAGAAGTGGAAATATTTTACAACCCCAAGAACAAGAAGCATTTAGGGATTGCGAAGGCCGTCTTTGACACAGTGAGGGCTGCAAAAGACGCTGTTCAGTACCTTCATCAGACGTCAGTGATGGGAAATGTTATTCATGTGGAAATTGATCCTAAAGGTAACTAGGAATATTTTGTATATTTATGTGTTGAAAGTATAACTTTAACTGAAAATAATTGTTTTTAGTGTTTAATTTGCACTATTTAACTTGCCCAATATATCTTAGGTATGCAGGCTCAGGGGCTGTGTTGTGCCCCATAAATGTTGTGTTCTGGTTATTTATGTTGTACCATAGTCTCAAAGAAATGCTCTCTCATCTGCAGTGCACAGAGATGTATGATAAAATGAAAGTAAACTGCTTGATAACAAATTTGTTGATTAACTGTAATGTGCACCCATCCTCAGGTGAAAACAGAGCACGATATCTCCAGCTTCTCTTACGTGGCCTTTATACTCCTTGGACGCTGCCAGTGGGTGGCAGTGAGCGAGCTATTCAAAGCTCAGTTGACACTTTGCTGGTAAATATTTTAAAGCTCCATATAATAGTGAAGTAATTGTATATGCAATATGTATAAACAAGCTGTTAGATATTTATAAGGATATTATTTCTCAGCTGTTATTTTCTTTATATCATCCATCTCTTATGCAGCGACAGGGGAGTTTTTCGAGCCCCACCAGCATCGCCACACCCCTCTCTCTGGACACAGCCTATTCCAGTATTTGGCAGGATACACCTTGCAGCTTTGGGCTCACACCACGTTCTCAGGGAACCCCCCGCACTCCTTGCTTGTCTGCGACTCCTCTCTCCCAGGACTCTTGCTACTCCAGTCTTCAGGCAACTCCAGTCCTCCAGGGGGAGCCCTCCACCTACAGTGTTCACAAGCCTTTAAGACAAGAGCTCTGTCATCGTAGGCCTGCGAGGTATCACAGAGGATCCAGTGAAATCTCAGATGCCACTTTAATTTTGAAGCATTGCCAACCACAGCCACCACACCCCCTCCCTGCCCAAATACAAAGTGGCAGCCCGCGGTTTGCACTGTGGGGTCGCAGCGCACAATCCTCATCTCCCAGTAATACAGAACCTTCCTATAACCTTGCCTCCCCCTGTCAGGAGTCTAGAGACATGGTCACTGATACCTCTAAGACTTTACAAAGGAACTGCAACTCTTTCAGCATCCTGAGCATTAATTTCACAGCTGACCGGCAGGCTGCAGCATCCCCCCCTCCTGATGACCATCCATGCATAACAGAGTTATCTCCATCTGCTGGTAACTGTTCCTCTAGCAGCCCTCAGCCAGAGGTAGAGAGTTTGGATTCCCGCATAGAGAGTTTGCTGACAAACAGCCAGATTACTGACCCCTCATACTTTGACAGAAAGACTTTGGTGGCTGATGAGCACTCTCAGGACAGCCCAACTTCGCCTTGCCCCACTCATACTTCCACTTTCTCAAATGACTCGCTTGTTTGCACAAAGACTTCTTATGACTTCACCACCAGCCGCCAGCGCTCCTACAGTGATCTGGTGACTATCAATTCAACATCACTGGTTGAAACCGAAGAGGATGAAACTACTCAGGCTGTTTTGTTTCTGACAAGAAACGCCCAGTCTCCATCTGACTTCACACAGTTTGAAAACAGAGCTCATGTACACAACGAAAAAGAGGCAGAAAGTGTCCGGTCATTCTCATGTCTAAAGGTAATTCCTCTTGATCTCTACGTACACCATCCTGATAATAAAAGAAGTAGTTATTATGTTGATAGCTATGTAAAGGTATTTATGTTGTGCCTCAAGTTAGTTGTTACATTTTTTATGTCTTATTCAGGAGTATCATACAGCAAATGAAGATAAGGAGCACTCAAATAACAGACTGCCTAGAGCTCTGACACCCGCAAAACAGATTGCCCCCCTTCTCCTGCCTCCATCCTTTTCTTCTCTCAACAGCACCACTCAACTCCCTACCCCCAAAACTCCTCCTGCTATTAAATCTGGGTGCTCCCACCCACCAGTCACCCCTTTCCCTTTCCCCCCTCCTCCCTTTCCCCCAGCTATTCCACCTGTCCCACCTCGCCTGCCAAATGGCACCATCCCCATCCCACCTCCAGGCTGGATCCCACCTTCAGGCCACCATACCAGCATCCCCATTCCTCCTCCCCCTGTTCTACGTCCTCCTTCGATTCCTCCCCCACCAACTTTTCTTGGACCCCCTCCACCGTTGGTGCCACCTTCTGTTCCACCCCCTGTGCACACATACCCCTTGCCCATGCAGCCGCCAGGTCCTTTGGATAAGGGGAATCCTCCAAGGCATGGCCTTGCACCTTTACTATTCCCTCGACCACCCTGGCCCACCCCACCTTTTCCCAGGTTTAACCCCTTTGTACCACCACCAGACTACCCGCTTGTGCAGGAAAACCCTCATAAGGTCACAGTAGAAAAAGTTCTAGAAGTCATCATGGAAGAACTGAAGTCAATCATTAAGAAGGACATTATGCGTAGAATGATTGAAGGGGTCGCTTTCAAGGCATTTGAGGACTGGTGGGACAGTCAAGAGAAGAAAACAAAGGTAAATTCTTTACCTCCCATTATTATCTCATAAAGTGGTCAATGAAATCACACGAATGAAGAAAAAAGTCTGTGTTCTTTTGGAGCCAGTAGGTTCATTGTTATTGATGTTTTATTTTTAAGATACAAGTTTCTCCTTTGAAAAGTGGAGCAGCAAGTGTTGAAGAGAGGAACAAACTAATAAATCCCCTCATGCATGTCAGCAGCAAGGGCAGGAAACCTCCACTGCCATCCTTCAAGGTAAACTTTTCCATTTTTTTCCATTTACTGTAATATGAAGCACACTGGCATTCAATGTAATGTAATGTAAAATAACATATTGTCATGCAGGTAAAAAAGAAAAGAGCTGATGATGCTGCTACATCAGAAGAGACAGAAAATATGTTGTGTTCTACTCATGAAAGCTCTGGTCAGTGCTTTTAAGGCAATAACCCCTCATTTACAATGTAATTACACTTTTTGGTTCTAGACTTCAACTCAATCAACTGTATTGCTGTCTTTCCATGTAGATGCGAAACAGAAGGATGACACAGTGAGACTTGAGAGAGCCAAACGCAGACATGCAAGACCACATGAGCTTGACAGTGATGATGATGAAGGGAAAGAAGAAGATAACACACTTCAAGATGAAGAAACAACTTCAGACAAAGTGGAGACTATTGTATCAGCTGATGATGATATTCAAATTCTGGTAAAAAGGGATTTTGCACAAAAAGTAATAGTGGAACTACAAAAAGAGGCTTGTAGTGTGGAGCCAGTATTTAATTTCAGTTTTTAAAAGAAAAGATGTCTTTGAGATTAATTAAATCGTTCCTTGAAATAAAAGTCTGACATGTATTTTCATAAGCAGCATCATTGGTCGTGGTGGGTTACAAAGAGTTGAAAATAGTTAATTAGTAAATTAATAACTTTAGCAGAATCTATACAAGGTGTTAATGTGATAAACCGTTATATGTTGAATGTACGACATTCTTCATTGTGTCTAATTAGTGTGACAGAGATGATCATGATGATGGTGATGACAGTGATCATCCTGAGGAAGAAAAGGAGTTGGCAAAAGAACACACAGATGATGAAGATGCTGACATCGTCCAAAGTAGTGATGGAGTGCAGTGCTTAGATAGCGGTATGTTAAAGTCATGGACAAGGACTTTGAACACTTAAAAATAATCCTGTTCCTATAGGTAAATATTTTTGTTTCTTTTTTCAATTGTAGAGACTTTTTCAGAGAGCAGCTCCTCAGAGGAAGGTGAGTACTCATCAGACTTCGACACCTCAGACTCGATTTCCTCAGAGAGCTTTGAGGACTCGTCCTACTCTGACCTCAGTCCTGAAGATGAAGACATGGAGGAAGACGGTGACGGGAGTGGTGAGTGTATAATCGTATCGTCAGATGAGGAGTCGATGGAGCTGGAGCCCCCTGTCACCCCCTCAGCCCCGCTAACCCCTGGTGCTCAGCTGGAGCTGGGCTTGCAGGACTGGGCAGATCCATTTCATAGGGAGGGAACTGCTGAGAACCAGTACGCATCCTGTCGACAAGATGCCTGTTGTGACTTGGATGTTATGACGGAGCTCCAAACCAGTGAACCCCAGGACCATCTACGACCCCCGTCACCCATAGGACTTCCAGGTGGTACGTCCAGCATGCTGTATAGCGGTAGATGGAAATAGTTTACAGCATGACGACAGCTCTAATAATGTTTGATGTCAGACAAAAATTGCATGCTAAATTTGCATTCAAAGAAGTTTCTATCATATCCCAATTTTCTGGCCCCTAATGGGAATAAAATCAACGGTAAAGGCATTTGCAGCTATTGTTTGAAATAAGTATAATGGATTTATCCTCAAGATGCATGATTATAATGTTTACAGATCATTTTAGTAACTTTAAAACAAGATTAGAGTCAACATGTTGATGTTTAGCATGTATATTTTTTATCATGTTCACCATCTTAGCATGTTAGTAGGCTAGCATTTGCCAGTGAGCACTCATCACAAACTACAGCTTTGGCTGATGGGGATGTCATAGTTGTTGCAGGTATTTTTTAGCAGATATTCTAAGTATATGTAAGTATTGGACAAGCAATAGGAGAAAGTCAGAGGATTAATATTATTACAATTCATCGTCTGGGGACCATGACTGGGGGGAGAAAATGGTGGTGAAAATGTGATTTTTTAAAAGATATTTTCTTGTTATTTGTCTGTGTAGGAGTGGAGCCACACCTTGATGTAGAGACGGAGAGCCCTGAATGGACAGAAGAGTCATCAGGGAACATAGAAAACCTGAGGCCCCTCACTCCTACTGGCTGCTTGCTGGACAGCGACCCTGACCTTCTGATAAGAAGCAAGCCCACATCCCCAGCTGTGGAGGAGGTGGAAAGACCACAGACACCAGGCAAGGGGATAGTAGCTGAACTGGAGAGTGTGGACTCTGCAGATGAAGTCCTCTCCCTCTCTCCAACAGGCACTGAGCTCGTTCTAGCTCCTTCTGATCCCCTGACCTCGTACCCATCATACCAGGATATGCCCAAAACTCCTGGTAGAGAGGATAGATGTGGATGGACCTCCTACATCTCTGGGAGAGCTCCAGCAACACCAGGCAGAGAGACAACCATGTCAGAGGGTAGCACAATGATGTGCCAGACTGTCAGCAGCCCACCTCCTGTGCCATCCCTGTCTAGCAATCCATATATCACAGCCCCAAAGACTCCTGGGAGAGACATCATCCTACCCCGTAGAGCCATAGTCCACAGGAGAAAAACACAAATGGTGACGACCTTACATCCCCTCTTATATGATTCTCTAGAAGGCTCCCCCATCTCAGTGTCCTCTGCATGCAGCCTCTCAGAGTATTCATCTGACTCTGATCATGGGAAGGGCATGTGGATCAGTTCAGGTGGGAGATTGAGGCCCTTGCAGGGGCTGGAGAATGTACCTGGGCTTCTGGATGATGAGAACAGGACAGAGACAGAGACATCCTTATTAAGGAGACTACATTGGAGGAGGTTAAAGAGGAGGAGGAACCATCATCAGCGGAGATCACTGAAAAGAATCACTCACTCCGCTCACAGGCATCCTTACAGGTGGCGTACACCCTGTGAGGAGAAGAGGATACTTAATAGTGTTTGGAAGAAGGGCCTGGATGAAGAAGATATGAGGCTGCTGCGGTGTACATATGAAAGGCTGCAAGCACGGGATAATGGCTTTGGTTGGATCAGTGACACCCTGTGGATACCTCACCCTCATATCCTTTTTAACTGGGGTTCATGTTGAAATTAAATTAGATCAAAATGAGTCAGTAGTAGGTGAACTAAGTAACTGAACCATAACAGATGACCGAGATTAATTGTATGTTACGTATGTTATATTTAAATTCTAATATTCTAGAAAAAAGTCCAAACCCTTACAGCCAACACTGTAAATTGATTTAAATTCAAAGTTCTGTTGTTGAAACATCAGTTTATACATAATTAAGTCCGATAATTTTGGAACCTTATTTGCTGTAAATCATATTCAGTGCTTGACATCCTTAACTGCTATGCACTGACCAAAGTCCTTACAGAGGGGAGTGAGGAGCTCAGATCCTGGCTGCCAAAGCACAGGACCGGCTCTGCTCGCAGTGAAGGATTCTACAAAATCAGCAGGAAAGATAAAATGAAATACCTCAACAACACAAAGCTGACTGCTGAGCTTCCATCTACAAGTACTCAGGTATCGACAAGTCTCAGTTCCCAGTTTATTCCATTCAGTGCTCAGTGTCAACCAAGGCTGTTAAATGAAGGCTGTGACATGCTCTCTGACTCTATCAGAGCTCTTTAGGTGCATCCAGCCTGACAAGTTTTTGGGTACACTCGAATAGATGGCAGCTGATATACAATAGAATTTTTATATAGAAAACATTTGTTTATTGTCTTTCATTGAAGGCCTTTTCAGTAATTGCAGAATTGTAATTCTCACCCATATCTTTATTGCACATATAAAACATAGTCCAACCCAAGGCCGACTGCAGAGGCCTCAGCGAAACAAATCAATCATCCTCATGTTCCATGATAGTGCACCAGCTATTGAGCCATTTAGCAACTGCAGATCAGATTTTACTGGGCATGTGTTGTACCCCAAGAATATGACAAAATATGACGCTGTGGCTTCTCCTCTTTTTAACCTCCTTGATGTCAACATATATTTCAGCAGGGAATGTGCATCCCAGCCCAACAACCAACCTCACTGCGTGCCGGATCTGACTTCAGGTCTGAGCAGCGTCGGCTGCTGTCCTCTTTCAGCTGTGATAGTGACCTGGTCAAGTTCAACCAGCTGAAGGTAAGTGAATTATTAGTAAAGATAAGCACACTCAACTGAAGAGGTTATGTAGAATGCAGTAATTTGAATGATGACCTGATAGGAGTAAACTGTCTCATCAGAATTTGCAGTAGTTGGAGCACATGTTAATAAATGGCACGTGTCTTGTTTTGTCATTTTATATGTATTAGTTCCGAAAGAAGAGGATTCGTTTTAGCCGGAGTCATATTCATGAGTGGGGCCTGTTTGCGATGGAGCCAATCGCAGCAGACGAGATGGTGATTGAGTATGTGGGCCAAATCATCAGACAGGTAAGACAAAGTCACACATATGACAAGGCGTGGAAATACATACAATTCATACTGTATAATGCACCCGCCATTTGTAACAAATGTCACTTACATGCTTTTAGGCAAGCTGCCTTTCCCCTGTTTGTTTCCACTGATTGGACCAATGGCCCACTGGGACCCACTAGTTATTCTGGGTACTTTCCAGGAGTGTGAGCAGGGTGACAATGATAAACAACACTCATATGGATAGGCACATCTGTTTTCTTTTTCCTCAGGTCATTGCTGACATGAGGGAGCAGAGATACGAGGAGGAGGGCATTGGGAGCAGCTATTTATTCCGGGTTGATCAGGACACCATCATTGATGCTACGAAATGTGGGAACTTAGCCAGATTTATTAACCACAGCTGCAATGTGAGTAAGAGTGCTGTGTCTGGAGACTGAAGTGTTAAATAAGATCAATATGTTGACAATTGATCTCAGAATCAAATCCATATTTTCCTCTTACCTGTGGTGCTATTTAGCAGTCTAGATTGTTTTGGTGTGAGTTGCTGAGTGTTCGAGATATCGGCTGACGAGATGTCCGCCTTCTCTTGAGTAAGATGGCCAAATGTGCCAAAAAAATACATTTTCCTGTGCTTGGTGATGCGGTTGTCAGGTGTAGCTTGGTAGAAAGAAAATAATTCCTACATGAAACTGCTCACAGCAAGGTCTGTGGATTATCTTGAGTAACTGGTTCATGATTTTGGGAAAGAGACATTGCTGTTGAGTTTTTCAAATGTATGTATTTGCCACTTTGAGCACCACATGCAGAGTGACAAAAAGTTCCATAAAGGCATCTCCAACTTTCCGCAACTCACACCTAAACAATCTAGATTGATAAATAGCACTACAGATGAGAGGAAAAATGTGTATTTTGATTTTTTTGAGAAAGTTTTTCTCTAATGCAAAACAACCTTTTTGTCTTGCAGCCTAACTGTTATGCAAAGATCATCACTGTGGAGTCTCAGAAGAAGATAGTGATATACTCCCGGCAGCCCATAAGCATCAATGAAGAGATTACATACGACTACAAGTTTCCGATTGAGGAGACCAAGATTCCTTGTTTGTGTGGAGCAGATAGCTGCCGGGGCTCCTTGAACTAGTCTCTTATGAATTGTCCTGATTATGTCAAGAGCCAAAGTTGCCTGAGGTACTGTACAATATAAACACAGACACTGAAGATGTTTCAAAAAAGCGATTTTAATACTATTAAAAACTGTATAGTCAATAACAGGAAGCTATACAGCAGCTTATAAAAATGCACAGGAGTGGTGGTGCTGCTCAGTGAATAATGATTTAATAAACTGTCCCAAACAGCACTTAGGACAGGAACAGAACAGAGCACTTCTTGGAACTTTATCAGTGGAGGTCTGGCATGAAATGCTAATGCGCCACCTAATAATCACTGTTAAAACAAACATTTGGTTGTACATTACAGTTTATGAACACATGGCAACCACTGTTTCACACATTGCAGTTGTCAGTTCACAACACAGGCACTCCAGACATCGTGCAAAGGGTCGCTGTTACAGTAAAGTGTCTGCTGACCTTATTGTCCAAATGATAACAAACATGTATAGTTAAATGTTTTCATTTATGAGAGCTGAAATGGGGTTTTGCTTGAGTCAAGCTTGTATGAATGATTATGGTTTTCTTAAGAAGATATACGAGAAAGTGTTGCATAATATTATTAAGTTGTGATGTATTCCTGATAACTGATACTAATTCATGAGATGATCTTTCACCAACATCAGGACAGGTTATTATGACATACTTTTTTGACATGTAAGTTAAATGTTATTGTGATAAAACATGCAAGTCACACAAAAATTAAAGAATAACTTTGCTAAACATGCTTTGTGTGTTCTTATTGTATTAGAGCATCGATGTAGAACATTATTACATTGTAATACTCTTAAACAGTAAGCAGGACCCTTTACAGACAGTGTAGTAGCATAGTAAAGTTTTAGTTACTGAGACTGTCCAAAACTCTAAAGCTATGTTAACACTGGCATCACATGCCCTTTGAAACTCCATTTGGTGTCAGGACAGTCAGATTTCCTCGAGCATGCTGGTCTGCTTCGATGGCTTGAAAAAGAGACTTGAAGTTTCCGGCGCCGAAGCCCTGTGGATAAAACATGTATTTAAGTTACTGATATGGCAGCAAAGTGAATCATCTTAACAGCACAGATGTTAAATTGAGATAAAGAAGCATGTGCTGTGTAATTTATTTTTCCTTGTAAAAGTTGTTGTGTATCCAGGGTTGCCCTCACCTGGTGGTTATGTCTCTGAATGACTTCCAAGAACACAGTGGGACGATCCTGAACTGGCTTGGTGAAGATCTGGAGTAAATAGCCATTTTCGTCGTAGTCCACCAAGATCTTCAGCTCCTGGATATGAGTGAGATCACAAGATAACATTTGTCTATTGTAATTAATGTTTCATTTGGTTGTAAAGCTGAATAGTTGGCTCTGTATGTTTTCTTTTTATACACTCAGTTGATGCAGGCAAAGACGAAGCTCTTCCAAAGCACTACACTGCATCTGCACCACTGGAGGTGGTTACTAGATATGGACATATGTATAGTTATTGCTTTAACCATACATGAAAACATGAGGTTCATACTAGAGTTGTTTCAATACCGACATCAGTACAGGAAACACCTCCAGTACTGCTTAAAATAGTGGATCGTTATTTCACACCTGTATGAAACAGCAGTTTTCCCAGAAATCAATTCTTCTTTGCCGCTTTAAAACAGTAACCTAGACAGCAAGTACTGCTGTGCAGCCACTGGCACCTACTTTTACAGAGCTGCAAAGAAGAACTGATATCCGGTAAATAGTGCAACGTTAACTGCAGGCAAAATGTCATCAATTTGGCAATACTTTACACTGCAAAATCCCACCAGTTTAGGGCTTAACCTAAGCCATGCCAGACAACAATTATGACAGTCATTTCTCATCCATATAGAGTTAGTATACACCTGTTGATTTTTTTTAAATGCTTTCAGATTAGTACTCAGTATGGGCTGATATATAAGTTCAGGTAACATTATTGGAATAGTTGAAGTATGATCTTAGTTCTGACCTGCAGAACATCCAGGTCCTCTGAGATTTTGACCTTTGAGTGTTTCAAGTTCTCCCTCAGCTGGTCGTAGTAGGTGTCTGGCACACTCATAAACTCCATCCCACGCTCCTTTAGGTTACGAATCTGCAAAACAGGGATTCATCAGAGCATTAGGATTAGGGTTAGGGTTATATTGTCACTGCTTTTGGGCATCTACATACAAAGCCAAATCGTTTTGTAGACTTACTGCAGTAATGATATCAGATGTGTTCATGGCTATATGCTGCACTCCAGGTCCTCCATAGTACTCCACATACTCCTGTGAGTGACATTGTAGGACAAGGATAAATGTTGTTGAATAGTTTATGCACAAGTGAATTGTTTGGAGTCCATGTATCTGTTAGAATGTAAAGAACATACCTGGATTTGAGACTTTCTCTTCCCCATGGCAGGCTCGTTGATGGGCATCTTCACAGTCTCCTCGTAGTTTGCCACAACAATGGAGCGTAAGGCACTAAACTCTGTCTGAAGCTGCTTGTCATCCACTGACCAGAAGCGGTGAAAGAGAAGGTTTCTTTGATACCTGTTAGAACACGAACCAAACACTCATGAAGTGTCTCTTGTAGTGTTAACATTCCCCATGTTGAATCATTTTAAATGCTTAGTTTATTTCCTCAGTGCACAGCCAGCACAAGATTTCTTTTGTTTTAATGCCTTGAACTGATGCTACTATTATTTCATGAGCTACATGAGAATCGAAGAATTGCGGCCTAGTAAACATAAAAAAGTGACTTTTTGATTAATGAGCTGGCTCCATGTGGTTCCTCTCCCCAAAGAACCTCCAGCCTGTGTTACACCCCTCTTTCCAGGATCAACCAATGTGCTTGCTCAATTAGAGAGCTGCCTTTCCCCGCCTTTTCATGGCCAGATAATGGGGTAAAAACAAGATCCAGATGTGGAAATGTACTGGAGACCCACTTAAAAAACGCAAAGTCATGCTGATCACTGACTTGTGCCAAAAAGAAAAAGAAAAACAGAGTTATGTAAGAATCAGAAACCCTTCGATCGTGAGACAGAGGCATGAAGAGCAAGTGTGTTGCAAGCCTCTAAACACTACAAGAAATAGTTAAGTCCATTACCACTCCACCACTGGAACCATCTCATCATCTGGTTGGTTTCCCACAATGTGATCAATGAAGTTCAGGTGTCCACTTGGCCTGTGTGGGAGAACAGGAGTATACAGACATATAGTTATTCTTCTGACTTGATCACCTTATAAACATAATAACGACATATGCACGCTTACAGTTTGGCTAATGAAGGATCCTTGAATATAGGGGGTTGAAAGCCTGGCAGAAACAACCCACTGTATCCACTCCTCTCCACAAACGTGTGTGTGGTGTCACCATACTGGAGAAAACAAAGGCAAGTGTACAATGTAGGACATTTTGAATGTGCTAAATCAAAATAGTGACTAAAATAATCAATGCAAATTCATACTGAGTGACTTGTCTTACCGTTTGAAGCACGGCCAGCCTGACTTTACCATACTTGTCCTCCAGGGTGTAGGGCTCCTTTACAATGACTGCACCTCTCTCTCTGGCTTTCTGTGAATCAGGATATATGGTAAGTGAATCCATGAATCCAGCAGATTTCATACAGCAAATAAATGTAACCTCAAAAGTGAATAGTGAGTTAGGAAATAGCTGAGAATGCACGTTTAAATGAAACCCTGTAATTTTACCTGCACAAGGAAATCACAGTCCTGCACTGTAAATGCAATATCCTTCACTCCATCCCCATGCTTGACTAAATGATCTCCCATCTCTGAGAAAAGATGATAAAAAATCTTTAGCCACACAAAGTCAATTATGCTTTGTTCATCTTCAACACTATAAACGTATGAAGTAATGATTTAAATGTATTTCTGTATGTTTTATTAATTGACCTTTGCCAAATCTATAGGAATGATATAGTAATATTTCCGCGATGTACATTAGTATTGTGCACACTAACAAGGATTGTTTGGACTTATTTGACGAAAGCATGTCAGGATATATCAGGAATATCTTTATGCAGTTGTTTTTATTGATAATAAGGACATAATGACAGGAGCTCGGTGTTCTTCCAGCAGGATATTTAAGGTGTAAAAATGTATTTTAGACATAAAAATGCATACAAGTTTTACTTGAAACAATAAAATAGTGAGGTAAAAAAATCATGAAATTAAAGTATAATTAATAAAAATCTTGTAGATGGTCTCCCAAAATATGTGCAAGAATTAAAATCCAGTGATCTGCATTGTGACATCTCTCCTTTTTGAAGTCTCAAACCAATGTATGTATAATTATATTCCTAAATTGTAAAATCTTCAAAATGATTTTACTTGTGAATGCCAGATAAATTGTGAAAAATGCATGCAGAACTTTAAAATTACAGTTATTTTATTTTTTTATAATTGTTTTTTGAGTCATTTTTTTTACTTGAAAATATAGAGGAGCCAGCTTCTGATAAGTACTGTACCTTTGTTTCCAGGATTGAGGGCAGATGAGAACACATAAATAATCTGTGAAACACAAATTGAAAACATTAACTCCTCCTCTATCATTTGATTCACTCTGTACAAAGAAACTGTTTGAGTCCAGTATAGTTATGTATTATATTTAGTTATTTATTTGACAGCTAGCATTATAATCCACATTGGTCAATTAAACTGTACATTATGAGATCAGTTATGAAACTGGGTTAAACTAATTTCTATTAAGTATACTCACTAAAAGTCAAATACCAAATCAACCTGCACAGAACAGTGTTTGCCAGTTTTGTTATTGCTGATTTTCTCACTGCTCTGGTCTTAAGCATGATGTGTGCTGTTACTTCCGGACTGAGGATCATTTACCTTGCCTTGTTTGACTACATGAGACACCACTTCACGACTGCCAGTCTCCAAACCCTGGTAGACGAAAGGCTCAAATCCCAGCTTGTTACAGTAATATGATGCAGCCTGTTGAAGACAATGATTTTTAGTCAGCAGAAA